TCACAAAAAATAGTAATATAATAAGACTGAAACTACAATTGAATAGTAAAAGAAAAAAGAGAGAAAAAGAAAACTTGAAAAGAAAGAACAAGATGAAAGGGAAGGGGAGTAGCAAGAAGGTGATATCTATCAACGACCCGTCTGTAGCGAAAGACTTTAGTCCGATTTCACAAATAGTCGAGGAAAACGGAAAGAAAGTGACTCGGGTCTGGGAGAAAGTCAAGTTTTTAGGAAGTGGTGGGTTTGGGACGGTCTTCAAAGTAGTCGATAAGAAGACACAAGAGGAACTTGCCGTGAAAGTCATATTAAGAGAACCACTTAAAGGCACGGTATTACAGAAGTTACGAAGTGAGGTCCAAATACACTCAGATCTTGACAACGATAGAATTGTAAAGATGAGAGAAGTGTTTGAAGATGTCGAGAAGAAGTACATCTACATCTTGTTGGATCTTTGCAACATGGAAACGTTAAAGGAAGTTTCTTCAAGGCGAAGAAGACTACATGAGCCCGAGATAGCGTATTGGATGAAAGAGGTGATTGAAGGCGTCATCTACTTACACCAACAAAAGGTCATCCACAGAGACTTGAAGCTTGCCAATATATTCATTCACGACATGCACGTCAAGATCGGCGATTTTGGACTTGCGGCACAGTTGGATTCGAACAGCACAACGAGAAAAACGATGTGTGGTACTCCAACGTCAATGGCGCCTGAAATTATTACTAAAACTGGACATTCATATGCGGTCGACATTTGGGCGATTGGAGTCATGTTGTATTACCTCAAGTTTGGGATGACCCCCTTTGGATCGACTTCTCGCGATCACGTTTATGACAAGATCAAAAAATGTGAGTACGGATTCCCGCCGACTAAAAGAATATCAGACGCACTTGTGAAATTGATTGATAACTCGTTAATGAAAGACCCAACAAAACGACCGACCGCAGACCAACTGTTGCAGTTTGCCTTTTTTGATCCACACGTTGTGCCTGCGTCGTTACCAGAAGACTCTCTGATGCACGACATTGATATTAGAAATCTTGTGTATTGTGGAGAAAATGAGGATAAGAAGGTGCAACTACCCGAAATTGAATCCATCAAGAGGTCGATGAAGGCTATGATCACGAAACGACCAGCCGTCAATGCTGTGGTGACTGAAGGGAAGGAGTATAATGTGATCATCGATTATTTAGACAAAACGGATAAGTACGGTGTGATCTATTTGATGGAGGACTCCACTGTTGGTGGGAGGTTCAACGACAACACGACCATCTTTTTTTATGGGGACTATTATTCATATTACGGGAAAGACTTATCGAAGCTCGACGTTGCTGCGAACGAAATCGATAAACAGACTCACGATGTGAACAAGAAGTGCCGCATTATCAAAGGATTTTTGAAAAATTTGGAGGGAGGGGATAAGACGAAAAAGGATTTGAAAATGTGTTTGGTGAGGAAATACAACAAGGAGGAAAGGTTTTCGACGTTTATATTTGAGGACAACTCGATGGAGATATTCTTTGGGAAGGAGGTTGCGTACTTTGTGAACCCATATCAGGAGAATTTGATTGTGATCAAGAATCGGCAAAAGTACCCGTTTGAGCTGGATAAAAGCAAAATTCGACAAGTCGACCCGAGGTGTGATGAGCATTTTGGATTGCTGAATTTGGTGTTGGACGAACTGGCGAATAAGATTGTGGTAATTAATTGAGTAGTTGTGTGCACCGCACGCTTTTAAGTTGTTTGGTATTAAACGAAGAGTAAAATGCATTAAATTGTTTCTTCGCGAAGGGTCGGTACATTCTCTGTTTGAGAACGCTCAGCCATGTGTTCAAGCCCATTGGGATCATCCCAATCACCACTGTCAGAAATGTCTTCGAATTCTTGTGGACATTCTTCAAGATGCTTTCGATACGCCTCCGCTAAACTTTTGTTGATGTGATCTGTTGCAGTAATTTCGCGTACAAAAGTGGTTTCATCGACCATCACCGGTGTTGGAGCTTCCATTTATGTGATATACAAGATCAGTTTGATGTTCTTACTATTACAATAATTACTATAAAAGAATTAAAGTACTAGTTACAATGAAGAAACCATTTATTATAATAAAAACAACTAGAAAATGAATAGATTGAGAAACAGAAATCAAGCGAGAAAGATGGCGGAAAAGAGACGTTTTGCAGAAGAAATTCACGGGATTAGGATCGAAGTGCTAAAGATATAGAAAAGTAACTATAATTGAAAAAGAAAACTCTTAAAAGCAGTTTACTGTTGGATGTCAAAACCAGAAATTCACGTGAGTTTGGTGATAGTCGGAGCAAGCTCAGTTGGGAAAACGTCACTTGCGAATCAACTTGTTAACGTTTGTTCTTCTATTATGACAG